ACTGCTTCTCCTCCTGAACTGATACAAGGGGGAAGAAGTACTTCTGTAAATACATAATACTTTTGCCTAGTTAGAATTGTTGTATATATAGTTCTTTAGTTTTTATCTTGCTAGTAATAAATCCTAGTATTATTCTCCCCACATCAGATCTCTTTTGTCTGCATAAACCTTCTCTCAACTTATAGCAACTGTGTGGGGGGTAAGATAAAATTGGCCCAGAGCAAACCCATGACATTCCTTTATCCCACATCTTTCCAAGATTTCTAATCTGAAATATTAATTTTTGGTCTCTACAACGCATACTCAGCCCTTGCACAGTCTTATTTTCACATGTCTTTCCCTACTAAATTAAACAATTCTGCCATGAAAATACCTTTCCTGAGCTACAGCCACTGTTCAGTACTATTGTGTCTTAAGTCTGAAACATCCTGGGTGTTATCTCTGTCCTGAACTAAAGTTTGTTCCCCTGCATGTTTCCTTGCCCAATGATTTCAGGTCCTACACTTGCTGTGCATTCCCATCCCTCTTCCCTGACTCATCTCCAGGGTCTTATATGTTATTACCTCGGCTCTCGATGTCCCTGGTCTTTCCCTGATCCTATTTAAGGTGACAGCTACTTATCTTCATTTGTGCAAAAGCAATATTTTTGAGTTCCCATTACAGAGAGATAATGGTGGAAGAAAGAAATATTTTCAGAGAGGAACAGCCAGACGTGCTGGGTGTTACAGCAGTGAAGAGCAGGGAGCAGAACAGATCGAGTGGCCTCACAGTGGCACTGAGGAACCAGGCTGGTCCCTAGCATACACTGTAGCTAATGGCTACTGACACTAGCAGCAGCCTATACATGCCCACCCCTGGGGGCTGAGGGTATGTGTGGACCACTGTCGTTCTGCTGAAGACATCCCTGCAAACACTTAGGACAGGCTGAACTCCCCTGTGATGCCACAAAAACTATGTCATGTTTGATGTAAACTGGAGTGACACAATCTTGACAGATCTAGAGATACATAAAGAGAAATCACTGCAGTATGGGTAACTGGACCACTGAGATGTAGGTTCATGTCCTAAGTCAGATGCTGCTTCTTGCAAAATTCTGGAAGTTTCCTGACTTTGTCTGTCACTTGTAACTGGAAACACATGGTTTGGGGAAGATAATTTATACTGAGCTGGGATAGAAGAAAGAGGTGGGCAACAGTGCTGGAGCTCCCCTCAGCTGGATATAACCTTGTCCCAGGGTCAGCAAAACCACAGGAAGCTTGTATGAGAGCTCACAGCAGTCACGAATCTGCCTGTCTGATAGTAATTTAAAACCAGTGATCACTCTGCTTTCATTTCACCAAATTAATAAGAGCTTTATATATTTAAGGTTTTTTACATTTGCTGATTCACACTCACTAAAGATAATTAGCGAGCATCTCTATTAGCAATACAGAACCCCTCCTGCGTAAGCCCCTTTCATGTGACTTGTCCCATTTGCCTTTTTTTCATGGCTTTTATTTGCTACTAAAGGAATAGCACATGTGAAGTGATGTTTGAGATTTAGAGTATTATAGCAGCTGACTGCTATGTGACAACTTTTTAAAGCTGGGTCTGAGAAAATCAGAGTGCATGAAACTGAATTGTAAAGATTCTGACTACAGACACACTAATCCTCTAAAAAGGCAGAGCTACTGATAGATTAACTCATTAGACTAGATGCACACTAGTCTAGATATTCAGAAAAAGAAGCTGTGGTCACATTCCTGGGTAGGCTTTCATATGATGATTTAAAAAATCTGCTTCAACTAGGCTAGCACTGCCATGGCAGGCTGGAAATTCTCTCCTCAGAGTCAGTCTTGTTACTTAAAATACAGCTTTGCAGTCAAACTGCAGAGAAGTAAACATAACTAAAATTGTCAAGTTAGGAGCTCAAAAGTTATGAAATGCCAGACTAAGTTTCCTTTTCTGAATCATTCCTCTTCTCCTCCTTTCTTGTCTTACAGACAGTGAGCAAAATGCAAAACTATTCAGTGTTTTGTAGCTGCCTCATTTTTTACTGCATGACCTCAGGCCTTCACTGAAAAATGTCCAATACAAATTTTAAAAAAACACAGCATCCCGGTGGATTATTCTATGACCCAACATTGACTTCAGATGTATCGCAAATAACAATTTTTGGAATACCTGTAAAGTGAGACATTTATATAAATCTCATTTCCTATTTGGAGATTGACAGGATTAAGAACAAAGGTATCTATGAAATACAAATGCTGCATATGAGACATTTTCTGAGAGAGCTTAAAATTTCCTTTTGTATCATACTTCTTTTTTTTTGATACTGTGCTTCAACAGTGTTCTGTTCTGTTTGTTCCCAGCACATCTAACTAGGAACCCTGGAACTAAGTATCAGTAGAAGATACTTTTAATGATTTCACAACTGTAACATGAAAAATTTAAGATATGAAGGAGAGACACAATTAAATTTTAAGTAAATACAGGATTTTTGTTTTCATTGAGTATGTGTGTTCTACTCATTGCTTAGAGAAGTCAGAAGCACTCTCCCCTCAGCTTCAGGGTAAATGAGGCATGGACAGAAAATATACAAAACAGGACATGATAATAATTGTTTTATAATGCAGTCATAAGAAATTTGAATTATGGTTTACAGACAGCCTTGACTTTGGTACTTTTGACTTTGTAAACACAGTAACATTTTAACTGTCTGAAACCAGAAAAAAATTCAGTATATGACATCCTAATTGTATTTATTAATGATTAACAGATATGCAACTGTTAGCTTTGGTATATAGATCTGATGCTTAATTAAAACTATGAACAGCAAATAGCAATCTAGTTTCATTACAAGTTGTGCCCAAAGCAGAGGAATATAGGGCACTGTGACAAAAGGCTTCACAGATATTTCCTGACAAACAAAACCAAACTTACAGCTCTTTGAGGGGAAGCCTGCTCCCTTGTGTGCATGTGCTCCTGCCTGTTCTCTCCAAACCTATGTTTCTTAGGGACAGCTACTGTCCTGTCCATAATGCTATCACTTTTCCCTTTTCTCAACTGGCATTCTCATCACCCTGTGTTCCCTCTCTTTCCACCTAAGTCCCAATCCCATGAACAAATCAATCATTCAGCCAAGCCAATTCTGTCTGAACCTCCTGTTTCAACAAACCTCAGTTCCTCCCCTGCTGGTGCCCTACACAGTCCATCTCTATTGCTCCTCTTCTCCATTTTCCATTTGCTCATGTTCTTTGTTGTTCTTCCTATCTATCTACATTCCTAGTTGTGTCTTATCTTCTTGTGATACTCACAAGAAATTTCTTTAGTACTAGTTTTCTTCACATACTCAGACTTCACTCCATGTAATGTCTTCATCTTTCTGTAAGATTTTTTCTTAGTTTCCATCTTTTCAGCCAGTTTTGCATCCAAGATAGGCCCTCTCTGCCCCCAATCTCCTCTATTGCCATCTAGCCAGTTTCATTTTTCTATCATAGAATCACATTTTGAAGGCAATCCTTATCATTCTAGTCTCTTCTGTTTCTTCTCACCCACAAATGAAGAAGAAAAACAGAGCTTACATTGTTTCATAATGTTTTCCCAATTTTGTTCAGATCTAGTAACGTCTTAACAGATGTCAATCACAAAGACTGTTTTCAGATAAAGCAACACTGTAACAAAAGCTTTAGTGACATTGTTGGCCCATAAATCTTATGCACATGAGAAATGAAAAATTTTCTACTGTCCCAGGATTGTCAGCTGTGAATTTTACTGCAAATCTTGTTTTAAAAGAATGAAAAATGTTTGGACAAATTAAAATTCTGCATCCAGAGTGCAATATCTTCTGTCACCTGATGACCACATTGCAGGTGATGACTTGTCATTGCTAGAGATGCTTTACAGAAGGTGGATCTCACATTTCATCAGCCTTTCCAGATGAAGGGGAGATTATCCCCTTTGATTTCAAAAAAACTGAATTTGGGCAGCCACTTCAAAAGATGTGACTCAGTCAGAAGGCACTGGGCAGCAGGGGATTGGCTGAGCAGGGAAGGAGATGTAGAGCAATACCAGAGAAAACTGAAAAGCCAAGCCACTGTCAGGAGCTGCGGTGGGAGTGAAGTGAAAGTGGATATATACTGTGGCAGATGGGAACAGAGTATGAGATAGGGGACTGAGGAAATGGAAAGAAATTCGGGAGGTAGCCTGCAAATTTTTAATTATCTAGTGCTATACCTGGTAACAGACCTGTTAACACGTTGGAAAAGTGTCTCAGTGTGACTCATGAGCACAAGTGTTGGTAGACATGTGCTCTACAAATATGTTGAGTGGCAAGTCCCTAGTTCCCTTTTGCTATTGCTTAGCCTTGATTCACTTACCCAGTGGCTGGTCCTGGCCAAGAATCTATTGCATAATTCTGCAAACAGAATAGCTGGTAAATGACCAGTGAGCCAACCTTTGAGAAAAGACTTCAGCTTTGTTACAGCTGCCATTCTGTGCTTCATCTTAAAAAAGTTCATCTATTTCTGTCTGTGTATCCACTAGAAAATTTTAGTCTTAAGCAATATCAGGTACCTGGCCAAGTGGTCACAATGAGACATCAGAATTTCTCACAGCCACACACTACTTTTCTTTTTATTACTTTTGCACAGTCAAAAACTGCTGCTTGAAAGTTGCTTTTATGGTGGTGATGTTTAAGTTTTGTGACATGACCTTAAAGTATAGTACAGGAACATTATAACTAGAAAATATTTTCCTTAAAATATACTTATGTGGGGGGGTTGCCTTTCTTTTTGTTTTGTTTGTTTGTTTGTTTCTCCTGAAAAACTAGTAACAAGATTGCCTCCATTACAAACAAACCCAAAAATTAACTTGCAAAGGCAAGGAGGCAATTTACCTGTTCACAACTACATTGGCTCCTGCCAATATCAGAAAATAATAATAAAAAACCCACTAAAAGACATGCATTCAGTTTTAAAGCATGACATTTTCTAGAAAACGTATTTCTAGCAACTTACTTTCACTGGCTGAATAGTCCTGTGGATCAAGTATTCCTGACTCCTGCAGTGATCTAATACATGAGTCCACCAGCTCCAGACCAGTGGTGAGCTCATCTTCTATATCCTTCTGACCATCTGTGATAAAATTAATAACATGAAAATGTCAAAGAAGAGCAAAAGGTAAAACCAGTTACAAGACAAAAGGTAAAACCAGTTATATGTGACTAAGCATTCACAGCTGATGAAGGACTGGAGATCACAGCAAGATCACACGTTCAGAGGAGGTTGGCCATACTGAAAATTATGCCATCCTTTTGAAAGTAAAATGAGAAAGTTCAGGTCTAATCTTAACAAAACTAGAGACACATTTACCAATGCCCCCTCTCAAAACTCTATGTTAGTTTCAGTGTTCCTTTGGTCAACCACAGCAACTTTTGTCAAATTTTGCCAGCTTTTAAGTAGAGTTTTCACAAACTAGCAATGAAAAAAACCTACAAACAAACAACAAAAAACCTCACATAAATAAATGGGTTTTTTTCTCCTCCATCTTCTTTAGGAAAAAACGATCATTCTGGGAGAGAATATATGCAATACATATATGTAGATAAGTACATTACCTTGTGTTTGCCAGTGAAACTGCTCTTCTGTTGAACTGAAATAAGAAAAACAAAAGGTTTATTTTTTAATTAAATGATTCTGTATGTGTCAAGAATATTCAGATATAAAGTTATTCTGAAGGAACTGATTTAATAAAAGAACTGACTTAATAATAAACAACATACTTAAAATACAAAATTTTATTTTTTTTTAATGAATGACTTGCACAGCATTCACTCAGCAGGAGGGAAAAATCTTTACTCCTTAAACAAGAAATTTAAAACATACATATAGAAAATGCCCTCTTGGTCTTGATAGACAAACTACACCATTTCAAAGCAAAAACATTAACATACTTAGTTTTTTTGGATCCTTCCATTTGTCTGATTCTCCATTTTTTATAGAGAAAGCAATAAATTGCTTTCTCAAGTGAATAGTTACATGTGATTTCTAAAAGAAATTATGATTCCTGGTTCTACTGATCATTATGTGCATTTTTATATTATTCAAATGTGCAGCTAAGTTAATTCAATTGGCCTACACAAGAGAGTAAATTTAGATGTGTTTGTGCTTCTATGTACAAGCACTTAAGCAACAGAAGGTCTTAATTTCAATATAATGAGCATGCACACTAGAGGACTGGTTAGGTAGGGTTTTTTTAATATAAAATGAATGATATATTCAAATGAATGATACAATGAATTATATATTCAATTAAGCAATGAGTACACTTTACTCAAAGTCATGTTCTGTTCATGCTTCAATATAGGTCTTTCTTACATGCCAAGAATACAAAAAGGATTGAAGTTACTCAGTACTAACCATTCTTTTAATAACAGTGAGCTGATTATTACAGTCACGATTAAAACATTTTTCTGTACATTTTACAAGATATTTTCAGGGGAGAACAAAATTATCTGTCACATCCATCAGTTAAAAAAACAAAGACTGAAGTTATTTTAACTTTTCAAACAACTATATTTATTTCTTTCTGAGGTTGAGAATAAATGCTCTTTTTAATGAGTAAATGGATTTAAATCTTGAATTGTTTTCCCTTTTCCCAACAGATGCTGCATCTCTTATGAATACGTGAGTATACCTCCTAGTATCTATGTTCTGAACAATAATAATGCAAATGAAACTAAATTCTTCTTTTTGGAGATCTACTTTTACAGTAAAGAACTTGTGTTAATTTTTCATCAGATTTGATAGTGCTAAAAAAGAGAATAATTGCCTAATGCACATAAAACAGTTCTAAAAGGATTTTTAATTTCTAGGTGGAAGTTTTAACCTGACAAATTCAAATCTATACATCATCATCATCATCATCATCAATTTCCAAATACCTACTGTATCTGTGGTTTATATTGACTCACTGTAGAGAGATTTCATAGATTAAGATGACAGTCCTTCAATGAGACGGTCACCTAAAATACTTGCAATTCAAGTCCACTGAAGTTAACAGTATTGAAGATAAACATTGCCAGAGTCCTCTGACAAACAATAAGTGCAAAGTTACTGGAATAAATTACTGTAATTTAAATTACCTTTTGAAATAGAGCCCTAATGGGTGGTGGCGATACAGACAGTGGCTCTTTTTGAAATAACACAATTTTATATTCCTTTTGCCTGATTTTCAAAATCACTAAATAACTGCAGCTTCAGCTGACAAACTGGTATTTGAGAGCGATCTTTCTGTAATTACCATAATCCATAATAAGTAATATATTACTTTCCACTATACAGTCCCTCTTCCAATATCCAGATTTCTATATGAGAGATACCACCTCAACAAACAGAAGAAAACTGTAATATCTCAGGTGGCATTCTGGCTGGCAGAATGAATTACTAAATGTTGCTGGCAAGAACACAGTGATACGAAAGCCTATGCCACCTCATCCAAATAAGCAAGAAAAGAAAATCAAGTCTGTGCATAAAGAGTGAATTATCATTTCCAAGAATTCCAGCTTAGCCCTTTTTAAGCAGTAAACTTGTACAAAATGTAACTAAGTTCATTGTGTTCAATGAATCACTTATGGTTAATTAGTAGTAATCCCTAATATCACTTGTCTGACTGTAATGCATTCATATTAATCTTAGGATTGCAATAAATTTTTACTACATTTTGGCTTTTTAAGTTTTAATTACAGAATCACAGAATATGCTGAATTGGAAGGGACCCCATAAAGCATAAAGTAATCATGCTTCTCCTTACCACTACTGTAATGGTCTTTTAATAAATAATGTTACTCTTATAGTCAAGGTAACAGATCTACCACCAAAATTTTTATTCAAATGCTACCTTCTTATTCAATATGTGGAATATGAAACAGGCTGCCAAGGGAAGTGGTGGAGTGACCATCCCCAGAGGTATTTAAAATATATGTAGATGTGGCACCTGGGGGCATGATTTAGTGGTGAACTTAGCAGTCCTTGGTTAATGGTTGGACTCAATGACCATAAAGGTCTTTTCCAACCTAAAAGATTCTACAATTCTCTATTAAAATTGTATTTGCTCCTACAAGGATATCAATATATTCTGGTATGGAAAGACTGCTATTTTCCCTAGTTAAATTCATGCAGTTCAGCTTTTGAACGATCCAGTATAGTTGCACACTAAGCTATCATTTCTTGGTTACAAACCAATGCCTCAGCCTGCAGAGAAACATCTAAAAGGTTTCCCTACAAAAACTTTATTAGCATTTGCATAATTTAAATTTAAATTTAAATATTCTGCTTATTTTTTTCTTCTTCTTTTTTTTTTTTTTTCCCCTAAACTGAGCTTTGCCTGCTTTTGGCCTGGATAATATTCCTGACTGAAGCAACTCGACATGTCTGTGCAGGGAGCCTTTAGGCTGTCACACAACTGTGCCAAATCTGCTTGATTGAATAAAAGGGTGCATTTTTTTGTCCTTTTCTTTTGGGTGTTTTCCAGCTTCACAAGAGATCAGTACAATTGACTATGTACTCCTGTCAAATACATGAAAAGACAAAAAATAATAATTAACAGAAGTACTCTCCTAATAAATTTTTTATCATTCTCAGCAAAAAAAAAGTTTTTTGATTTACAGTTTTTCTAAAGAAAAGGTTTTAAATTCATTATCAACCACTTTTCTGCATATTCCGATGCCTCATTATATAAGTTTGCAAACTCTAGCATTTTTGACTGAGGAACTTGAGCAATAAAATACTTTATCAAGATGTTCTGAAGTATGGAAACCTGAATCCACCTTCAGAGTTTGAGGAGAGAGTTTTAACCAGAATTACACTAGTTTAGTATTAGAAAATACTAGCATAAAATATTAATGAGTTGAGAACTCAAAAAAGTAGAGATATTACTTCCCTTAATTCAAGACCAGAAGAATAATTATAATTTATTTGCTATTCCTTTATTATTGGTAGCCAGTGCATCCTGTATCTACTTCAAATGTTTTAGGTACAAATAAGACTACCATTCTACTTAATTCTATTTGAGTGATATAAAGAATCCTCCATCATGATTCAACTATGCAAAACTTGATTCTTCTATACTTATATTGTCTTTGTAAAATAACATGTATTGAAAGAAAATTCCAGGGAAGCAGAATAACTTAAGAAGATAGAAGATAGATTGAAAAGATAATGCTAAAAACCAGCTAACCAACCAACCAAAACACTTGACTAAACAAAAAAAGAATATTGTTACGTGTTTAGTTCTTGGCATTAACCTTGAATCTAATGAACCTATCTTGTGTAAGGATGCACATTTCTGTGCCTAAAGCTTTACCTTTAATAACCACCTATGCAACAAAATATTCCAGTAAAAGTTTGTTTTACCTCCCTAGGCAAGAATGAGCAAAGTAAACATCCACAGAGTGGTCATCTTGATTCCGGCTGAACTCACATGTTCCTGTTTCTCCACACATGTAATCAAAAACACCGAAGTACTGAGAAACCCTCTCTGTGTGACCTTGCATATTAGGAGGGTGAAAGGCAAGTGAGCACAGCATGCTGCAGGGAACTCGTTTTGAGGAGCATCACTTGGGGAGATCTACCTGCCTCTGCACAGCCAGGAAACATCAGAAACACACAAAGCCTTGCGAAAATGCAGAGTTTCTATAGCCAACAAGGATGTCTGACTATTACCAGCATCTATTTACATCAAGTTTATCCCTTGTCAGCACGCAAAAAAAATCCCAGAAAAATCCCTGCCTGAACTATAGTATGTCTATAAACAAACAACAAATCAAGCCTTAGGGAGCCTTCATTATTTTTTCCTGCACCTCAAGTCAAGTTAAAAAGGGATGGTAAGATGGGCTCTGTGGAGACAGCCAGCACCAGCAGAACAAGGTGAGCTACAAAAAACCACTGAACACCTCTCCACAATTTACAGGAGTCTAAAGCAGTTTTGGTGGCATACAACTGAATGCTCCAAGTGACACCAAAATACTGCTTTCCTGGACCATGCTCACCAGTCACATTTCTATAAAAATAATCGGAATCCTCATGGGACGTAAACCAGAAGGGGGGAATGCTGTTGAGTACTTTGGCAGAGGAAAAGCTGCTTGAGACATTCTCAGTCAGCATTGCCAGAGGGCCTGTACAAACACCCAAGGACTTACTTTCAAAGCAGATGCTGGGGAGCAGCAAGGGCATTTTGGACTCAGCTGAACTCCTAGAAGTTGTGAGTATGCCTGTGCCACTGGCAGCAGGAACAGTGGTGGGGCAAAGGTAAGTTACACCAACCCCCCAGCCCAATGTACACATTTTTGCACCCTACCTGGTCACAGCAGTACTGGCAGTATCATTTGGGTTTAGTTTTAGACATTACATGTCCTAATGTGAGACCTGACCCCCATTCAGATGAATGCCTTGATGCCTTGCACCATTCAGTGCAAGGAGGTTCACCACACTATACACACTTCTACCATAGTATTTATTAGGCAGCCTGCAGAAATTTTTTTTTATCCCATGCACCAACATACATCAGTGCACATACACAGCTGGTCATATCATTAGGTTATTCAAGTCCTCTGCCTTACTGCTCCTCAGGAAAACAACACAGCAAAGAAACTCAGTTTTTGCGAGGAAGGGATGTAAGTCTTCTTTTATTCACTGTTTCTGGCACATCTCTTAGTTTATCACACAGGCTGCCAGGGCAAATTCACACTTTTGTATTCCTTTAATTATCCAAGAAATGTTTGTGTGCCTCTCCTTTGTGTGCATTCAGTTTACAATTGTCACTCATTTTTTGAGAAATTGCTATAGCTATCTGCTGCAATAAAAAATATATCTTTTTATTGTTTTCTAAAACAATGAAATTATATCTAAAATAATTAATGAAATTATATCTAACACTACTGTAGAAAAGGTATGAAAGGATTTTATGAGGAGTTTTATCAGCACATGATCTTTTCAATTATTTCTACAGTGGAGCCACACAAACACTGCTGTATATAATTACAGGCAGATACTGGCTCGCTAATTTTTAAATCGTTTTTCTGGTTGTGGAAGGTGGAAGAAAAAAGATTCAGAAGCATTTCACAAAAAGCAAGGAGATTGAGAAATTAATATTCCATCTAAAGCAAAGGAGAAGCAGATTTTAAATCAGTAGTACACTTTAGGTTATCTTCAAAATAGTAAACAACTTTTAGTATCAATTATGTAGCAAGTAAAAAAACCTTAAACAACCTCAGAATAAATTTTACATGAAATAATCCCATTAAAAAGTACCAACTCTTAAAGAAATTACCATAGGAAAAAAAATCCCTCAAGAGCAACTTTTTGTTTGTGGCCAATTTAAATAATTTCAAAATCTCTGACTTTGGTTGTCACTTCCTTCACCTCTGTAAATGTGACACGCTAACCTCTCTCCAATATTTAATAGCACTCTATTAATCAGCTGTGGTATCAACTTGGCTACCCTATCAAAAAGTCGTTTTGATATTTCAACAGACCTCATCCAATCCCCTCAATGATCCCGAAAAATGTTAAAAAAAATCCAACAAACTAAAATACACCCACATATTTTACTGATGACTGCTCCTTTGTACCTTGTGAACTTCAAAAACTGACTTTTACAATGATGACAAAGTTTTCAGCTGTAGATGCCAGAAAACCATTCAGGTGGTTAATTCCCACCTTTATTAGAAAAGCCTTGCTTCAAGTTCCTATGGGGAAAGAGAACTGTCTAATTTTTCTCCCCGACAAATCATTGTTATTCCCTAGGTTTTAAAAAGTCAATAGCAGAATGTTGTGGCTATGCTATGAAAGTTTTTTACTTCTTTTCAATGATGCAGAGAAATATTTGCAGCCAAATTTCTAGATAAGTCTCAAATCAATGCTTTCCTCTGCATTTAATACTTGCAGAAATTTACAGACAAGATTTTTATTTTAAAAACAAGTTTTAACCTGCTCCAGTCCTATTTATACTTAATTTCCCTACATTGATTGTGCTTAATAAAACTGTTCTATTTCTTATTATTTAAATGTGATTTAAAGTTCAGCTCCACCACTAAGAGCATTATTTAAATATGGAGCATGCACTGAAAGCCAGCTGCAGTCTTGCATTCCACAAAGTCACTGCTTAAGTGCTTGCAACGTAGGCAGCAAAGCCTGTTAGTTAATGGACAGAGCATAACACAGCCTGTTTCCCTGTAGTTTTTGACCATTCCTCCTGAAATAGTCTACAATAGTATCAATTATACTAAATTTTATTTTGTTACTGAATTCATTTCACGCACACCAACCCCCTAAAACCCATTAACTTTAGTTTTGAAATAACTTAGCCTCCTAGAGACAGAACACTTGCTACTTAGTTTCCAATACCAGCCAGTTTCCTTTAGTTTCAGTTCTGCAGACAGTTATTGGTATAACAGTGAACACAGAGAATCCTTTCACAGTGGAAGCCTGTGAAGCTTTACTGTTCCAAGGAAATGAATTTACAGGGCAGCACGTACGTGCTGTATTTTATTTAACTTTAAACTTGGAAGCAAGAACATCATTAAGGAAAGCAGTATTATGTGACTGCCCTGTTCTCAATCTTCCCTTGATGTCCATTTCATGCCCCTATGTATTGCAGACAGGATACTGGGCTAGATGGACTTCAGTTCTGAATCAATATAATCACTCTTTTATTTTTATTTAGAGAAGCTAATATCAAACCAAATTACTTAATTTTGTATTTTCCCATAATTGATTAATTAAAAAAGGATATTGGTACACAAAAAGAAGGAATTAGCTCAAGGCTGGATTTCTGCTAATAATGTTAGTTCTTTCTGTTTGTTTCAAACCTATTTTTATTTGAGAAAAGAGCTCATTTCCAAAACTTAAGACCCTATACAGGAACACATTAGGAATAGAACTAAAAAATTTCAATTTCAAGGGACCTACAATGACCATAGAGTCCAACTGCCCAACCATTTCAGGGCTGACCAATGGCACTGTTCAAATGACTCTTAAAACACTGACAGGCTTGGGGCATTGACCACCTTTCTAGGAGCCTATTCCACTGGTTGACCACCCTCTTGGTAAAAAACTTCTTGATGCCCAGTCTGAACGTCTCCAGCTGCAGATTTGAGCCATTCCCAGGCATCCTGGCACTGAATCCCAGGCAGAAATGCTCAGTATCACCCTTTCCCCTTCACCTCCTCAGGAAGCTGCAGAGAGCAATGAGATTGCTTCCCAGTCTCCTTAAATTTTAAATTTTGCTGCTTCTCCACAGTATAGCAGTTCTGATAGCAGTGTACTGTGATATCCCTTCAGTCCAGGCGCTGGTATTTCGATCTGATCCAAACCAAACAAGTATCTAAAATAGTATCTGGAAAGAACTTAAGTGCTCAAGAAATGATTCAGAAATAGCAAATTAGAGAAATCAATAGTGGAGAGGTAGAATCCTCTCTGCCCTGAGGCAACTGAGCAGTCTGCTGCCTAAATCACAACACAGTCTATCAGTACCCATAAAACTGTTCTTCAGCATACCTTATTGAGAGCATTGCATAGAAAGTATGATCATGGTTGTCATGCTTCAAAGAAAACAGTACAACACCCAGAAAGATAAAATGAGGTCTACTTTCTTCTTTCCCTCCTCCCTCTTACCCCAATAGCTCAGCTATTAAAGCCCTAGTGCACAGTGCGAAAGAACTAGATATAAAAGTTTATTCACTTGTGAGAAATAAAAGCAGTATCTAAGTTGAATGTAAACATCAGGCTGTCTTTCCTGTTGAAATCTCAATCCTGTATAGAAAACAACACAGTATTTTAGTTAAGAAACTCCATTATAAAACACACCACCACAATTACCTTCTCTTTGCACCATGTTTTGAAAGATTTCTTCATAGAAAGAGTGCAGACAGTAGCACTCTTTCTCCATATAAAGAAAGGCAGTTTCTCAGTGGAGCAGAAAAAGCTACTGAAGATCAAGGCCTGAGAGTGAATTTCATGTAAGGTACCTTAAACAAACTGGCCAGCTTTTTGGTGTTGGGTAAGAAACATTCAGTGAATTGAGATCGATTCTTTTTTGAGGCATGCAGTTCCATATGCATTGTATGACCACTAAAGGAACTTAACCCAACCCATAGATACATGGAGACAGTCACCTAAAAATAAGCATTACAAAACACTTTTTCAGTATCTTTCTGGTTCTGGTCTTTGGTACCATAACAATTATTTCCAAATAAATATGGCATAATGTAAATGAAATTCCTTTAAGGAAACCCACTTCTGTATGTGAAGATATTGCAATATTTCCTCCTGGGATAGCCAACTGCTAGAGCATGTAATAAAACCCACTAGGAACATGAAGCTCCTCATCTTCTCAATACCAACAAACTGCATAAGGATAGCCCTTCAGCAAAAGACTTAATCCTTAACATGGAGATCAAGCCAAGCACCAATGCTGACCATTGTTTTAGGTAAATTATGTAAAGTATGATTACACTTTTATATGACTATTTCAGCTACAATATTTGTTCTGTGTTGTCCCTGGTAACTAATAAAAAGTGATTTTCTCCAGGTTTTGAGGGGATGATTCATTTTAAATTCAGCACTTCCTTAGGGAAATAATGCAGACAGAAGCCAGACGGCCTCTATCTTAAAGAAAGTGTATTCCATGCAGGAAATTCCCAATACACACACACAAAGCCTGTCTCTCTGTGAAATCACACATCATAGCCCTTCCCAGTTCTTCTCTTCTACAAACTCTTCACATTAGCTTTACTCACCTCCTTCCAAGAAACCCCCCTTCACACGGCTCTTCACCTTCGCCTCTTTCCATGTAAACAATTCTCTCCTTTTCTTTCCATTCCTTCTCCCCCCTACAGAAAAAAATACAGAGCCAGGATGTTTCTTCTTTCTACTTAGCTGATGGTTTTGCTACTTCCTTTCCTGCAGCTTATGCCTGTTGGGGCCAGATGCAAACTCCTACTGTGCCTCCATAGTGGCACAAAGTTCCCCATATAACTAACAAAGAATATTCTTAACATCAATATATTGTCTGAATTTTGACATTGACATATCATGCAAGAGACTTCATGATAGTTGCCTATACTTTACATGTATGTTGTCTTTTATTTCTGTATTCTTCACCAGATGTGTGGACATGAAACACTGTCACAAAACAGGAGAAGATTCTGCAGGAAGCAGGAAAGAGTTTGTTGATCCTTTTAATGGGAGGATTAAGTAAATGATTTGAGGTGTACACTTAAAAAGCTGAGTTTAATAGATGTTAAACAGATTATTTAACAGATTATTTTCTGTTGACAGGAAGGAGGAATAATCATAGAGTAACTTAGGCTTGAACGACTTCTGGCATTATTTGGTCTAGTCCCCATTTAAAGCTGCACTAACTTCAAAGTACCACTAGACATAATGTATGTGGGAGACTGTTCAGAATTTGTTTAGTTAATTCTCTTTTTTTTAAGAGAGAAAATAAAATCTGATAGAAGATGAAATTAGAAGAGTTTGGTGAATTTAGATGAGACAATTAAATCTGAGAAGGCAGCACAAAGTGGCTTTTATAATGTCGCAAGACTAAAAACTTGGAGAAAAAGAATCAGGGGAAGCTCACAGGTGGGATAAGAATAAACAAGTTCAAAATGGTCACTGAAATTTTTGTTAAAATTTAAAAAAATGTATTGAAACTTCATGGAAACAGCCAATCACCAGTCCCATCCAATTTGAATTGAGGTGCCAAACACTATACTTGTTCTGCTCTTAGAAGGCTATTTGGGAAGTTTATTAGAAGGAGCTGATGTTAATTCCAGCTTTGAGGAACTGGACTAAAGCCCAGGATGTTGCCTCCAGTTCTGTATTTGAAATAAGCTTAATCTGTGATGCTGATCACTTGGAGATTCTTATAGAGTAGTATAAACACAACTGCATAAATTAATAACCGATACCACCAGGCAATACAAAAACATAGGTTTGCTAGAAGCAGTACCAAGAATCATGTATGCAAGAAATGATAAGCATTAAATTTACATTTCAGTGCATGAACATAAAGGCAGCAGAAAACTACTTCCTAACCTAAAATGTTAGATGAATGTAAAGGTAATTGGGCCTGTTAGGTGGGTGCTAAGCAGCTGGATCAACCCATGAACAATTGCTATTGATTTATGATTGTAACTATGGGATTGAAATTTCTTATTTGTAAACTGTCTGTTTGCATACAGAGTTGACAAATTATGCAAGTAACTAAAATGGCACATGGTAATAACAGCTATTTAGCTATATGGATAACCTTTAATCACACATTTATTACTGAAAATGACTAAAGTTATATTAATGTGAACTGACAAAAAATAAATGTAACCTTTAGACAGATTTGGAGCTTTGCAGTGAGCAGAGTCTTTTTATTCTGGCTTTTCCACCACTAAGACTCAGCAGGGAAAATGAGAATCAGTTCCCTATGAAAATAATATTTTTTTCATTATTCATTGCCTGCCAGAAGAAATACAACACACAAGACCTTACGCATGTAAAACCGGGTTTATAGGTCAGACATTTGGTAAAGACAGATATAAGAAATATATTATATTTTTAAAATCTTGTGCAGGAATTAAAGAGAATATTCCTAAAGAGAAAAAGGATGTCTTCGTAGAATTTTGAAGAAAATATCTTCCAGGTATCATACTACTCATACTGAGAGCAATAATATTTTTAATCATCTTTATTAGAAGAATATTCCAATACAAAATATTGGGAAAGTTACTTGATAACCAAACCAATATTTTGAAATAGTTTTGTTAACAAAAGGATGAAATCACCTTTCTACTTAAATAGAGACATCCAGAACACGAATTTTCACAAGATAGTTGAATCTTTTAATCTTGATATACGTACATAATCCACACATTTCAATACTGAGTTAAAACTTTGCAAGAGAACTTCGTGATTTCCCGATCCTTTGAGTACCTATGTGTACCTGAAGGTCTGCCAGCCAGGTAAACCACGAAGGACTGCACTAGAAGCAAGAATTAGATTGAAACTCAGATCAAATCAAAAGACAAGCACTCAGTCAGCTTTGGAAGTTCTACTCACAACTTCTTTGTTCTGTTTGGCTTTTCTATAACCTATCTATTGCTCACTGTCTGGATATTGAAGCAAGTATCAAATTCTTTGTCTGCACCCATTACCATGCAGCTGATTTTGCTACAGCCAAATGGCAGACTTTTTCCTAAAACTTGCTGCCTGTTTGGGGCAATCTCAACAGTACTCATGAAAAACAAAAGCACACCTCTGAACTTCCAGATTATTATTCCTTTAAGCTGCCAAAAAGACCATCTTTCTCCCCACAAACCAGGGAGACCAAAGCAGAGAGTAAATGGGACAAGTAGTGAAAACTGCTTGTTACTTAATTATTGCAAAATTTTCCAATGCAAATTGGCCCTAACGTACTAGAAAAGTGACTTCACAAACATTGCAGGTTCTTATGTTGTGTTGAAAAAGAATGCAGGAGGCTTAGCTATATGCTTTTATCACTTGTCAAAATTTAAGAGACCAGTTACTCTGTCACTTATGGCACCACTAAGTTCATATCTCAGAACCATTTAATAGAAGAATTCAACTGCTGAGATAGCTTACTTGTTAACACCAAATTCTACCTACTGCAGTCCTGAAAGCACTTCAAATTAGAAAAGTTGTAACACTCTAAAGTGTTAAGATAGGGCAGTGATCCTCATTCTGCTCAAGGGGCCATCCAGTAATTTCTGAAAAGTCTGCATAATTATGCAGAAAAATGTTAAAATGTATTAGGTTAAATAAAAGCACTAATTTTCTCTGCTGACTCCGCTGAAAAAGCAGACAAGGGAAATGAAACACAGATCTCAAGTAACTAGCTGAGCTTTACATTGGCAGATACAATTCTTTAAAAGTCCTTTGTTTTGGTGAAAAGGTTGCTGAACCATAGGAAAATTGAGTTCTTGGCCACCTATGTAAATCCCTCTCTAGGATGCCTCAACATCACTTGTTCAAAACAATTCATTAAAATTCTTTCTTTCCCACGCCTGGTAAGTCCAGAGTTCAGTTCGTTTTCACTACAGCTCATGCCACTAAGTAATACTTTTCTCTTTGTGCCCATCCTAATCATATGTTCCACGATCAGAAATAATACATATATATATATAAAATAAAAGTTACCAGCTTTCCATTCATATCGGTTTTCTTTTCTCTATTTACACTAAGTGAAATTTGGAGAGGTTCTCAACTGAGTTATCCTACCATTTCATTAACTCTGCAACCTCTTTTTCTTCAAATATCTTAATCTAGGTTTAAAAGCTGATTGTAAAATTAAGAATTTTATATTACTTCTTCAGTGCATCTTGGAAACAGTCCAATCAAAAAGCTAAATCTGTTTCCACTGGCAAAGCAGAGCTAATATGAAAAGTGAGGAAACTGATTTATTTTTTTTTCTCCCTGAATATGAATCACATAAAATCTGTTCTGGATTTAACAAAATTAATTTCTCACAGTATAGAAATGCTAAATCTCATAGTTTAACAATAAGTTTGCTTAAGAAAGCAATGAGCTTTGTTGTCATTTTGAAAAGGAACAGTATTTGCAAGTGAGCTTAAGGGCAGTCAGTGTCAAAAGCAGAGACAGATTTTTACTCCCTATCGTGTAGCAAAACCCCTGCTCAAAGCAGGGTCAACAAGCACTAGCTGAGAGGTATTACTAGTTTTCAATTGTTAAAAACTGTATCCAGATCATAATTTTTTTTTTTAAAATTTTAAAGAATACAATGAATATGCAAAAAGTTTATAAAGAAAATATTAAAAGACCCAGTACTAAACAAAATTTTGAGAATCCCAATTTCAACAACTTGTTTATACTGAACAGTATAGTTCAACAAAACACTGTGCAGGACAACTGGATAGTTTTGACTTCAATACACAACAGTTTTGCAGTTAGAATGGACTGGAATAGAAGTGATCTATACAGAGAAAAACATTATCTCTGGCCTGCTTTCAATAAGAATGATATTCTACTCTGGGATCAGGGTTAAGGAGAATTCGCATAATACAGTGTTCTCTATGTCCCATGATGAACTACATCATCCCCAGTCCAAAACTGAAGTAAACAGAGGTGATCACAGATTCTGTTATTCTGTCAAGCCAGGGGGTGGTAATTTCTAAACAGACATTACAAAGTAATGTAACTATTTAAGAAAGGAGAAAAAAAATCAAACCCAACTGCAACTCAAGCCTAGGCTGACTTCCAGAGTTAAAAATTTGCTACAAATTCAAATTGAAATGGTTGAAAGGAAAAGAAGTAAATGCATTTGATTTTATTAAGGTGTCACACAGCACATAATTTCTTTCACAGACTAAAAAAGGAAAAGTAGCTCTAATATATCTGGAATTTCATTGGGCATTTAACCCATTATCAGATGACATTGCCAAGTTAATAGTTTAAAAACTAAAGTGAGAAACAGTACAAGATTTGAACACTGGGCATAAAAAAGGCCAGACAAGAGACAACTGGTGGTGTTAAACTGAAGCTAAGCAAGAGGGAAACAGTGCAGAATTATTAAAAAATCAGTCTAGGGGGAATACAGTTTTTCAGAGCAGCATGCAAGACAAATTCAACCAGTTTAAAAATGAGGCAAGATCAGTACCCGAAATGTATTAAAGAAGTTTTCCAATATCAGATAAGATTGGACATTTTGTTTCTCAGGTTAATTCCAGCCTCATTTTACCATGAAGTGGCTTTAATTTTTTCAGGAAATTGTTTCAGGAGACTGAAAACTGCCTTCATTCTCCTTGTGCAAGTACCTTTTTTAAATTTTTTAAAATATGAATACAAAAAGGAAATCGCT